GTATAAGTGTTATACAATTCTGTAGTAAAAAAAACGCGCGTGATGAAATGAAAGGCTGTGGATATGTTGAGACATTTGCCTGCAACGCAATACCGCGAAGCAACATAATAAACACATGGCTAGCTGAATGCAGTCCGTGAAAGACAGTGGCGTGATCAGTGGCGCTGTTAGATGACAAAACGGTAAAAGGGAAGGTGAAGGCGCGGCCCCGCAATGGCTTGCCCACTCGACTACTGACAGAAGGGCCTGCACGAGAGCAAACTCTGTGAGGAGTGTTTCAACAATCATTTGGCGATGCTGCTGCTGTGTTGGTATTGGTGCTCAAACACAAATAGCAGCAACAATCAACACATTCATCAATGACACTGCCTTAAAAGGAAAACTATGTATCATGTCGGGCAATGACTCTTCTTAATAACAACATGTCCTACGAACGACCATTGCCTAAATGGGGGCCTCATATATATTGTTTTCCTTTAATGGCAGTGTCATTAACGAATGTGTTGAGATTTTTTTGTAATAACGAGTATTTGGCCTACTCTTCCACGTTGACCAGACTTTTTGGAAGACGTGGGCGTACCCACACATTACTCCACCACGTGACCAAGCTGATCGACTGACGGCAATGTGCCATCTCTGCTGCTGGGTAGACAGAGGCGGGAGTAGAGAGGTGAGAAACTTGGCCTATTGAGCGTCCAGTGTGATGTTAACCATTCATTGCACCACGGCTGCTTTAATTAAACACACGGGGATTGGACCAAATGCTCCACTTACTGCCACGTGCGAGCTAAGCCGCACAAAAACATTCGGGACACTATTTGGCGATGCTACATTGACAGTGGTGCACAAACACAGTTAGAAAACAACTCAACATATGCATGAATAAAACCGTGTCCTTAAAATTAAAAAGCATATCATATGCGACATTTCGGGCAATGCCCCTTCTCCATAGCACAGACGTGATTGATGTGTCACGTGCTGTGAAGAAGGGTCATTATATATTTGTTTTCATTGAGACCATAGTGTTATTTACGAACATTGCACATATCATTAGCATCTCTGGAAGCGATATCATGCTTATGATGACCATTCCATGGAACAAATGCCATTGACGGCGGATGCCACGATATCACGCCTGCACTTGTAGAATGCTGTCTTAAACGAGACAGCAATTGTCGAAAGCAGATCCAGAACCAATAAGCACGCCAGGAGATGTATTCAACACGTGAGATTATACGGATTGCGATATTGCTCGTGATGGCTTTTGTTAGTAAGGAACCATTATTACACGGCACTGTCTGTGTTATGAATGCATCGCCTCATTATTTGCATCGTTACGTAAATATTAAAACATGTGTTAGTCTGTCGACCTTATTGCTCTTCCCAATGTGTGTTCGCCAGTAGCATGTACTCAAAACACAGACTATGGACAGGTTTCAACGTTCTGAGTCTTATCAGCGGTCCAGATGGATAAACAAACACCGCCGGCTTAGCTGGACGCAATGTGCGCGTCCCTTGTGACCGTGCATCATCGTGAGTTCACGGGTGGACGAGGGCTCGCCTGTGCGTGTCATCGGGTCATTTTACCATATTTCACCATGATCAGTCCGGGTCGGTGAAGGCGGAGAGAGCATCGGCGTGAATTAATATAATTACAGTAAATAATGAACATGTTGCTGCACTGCAATCTGTGTCCGCTCCGTAGCAGCCTATAGAAGCTGTGTTTGCGTGCTGGTTAACCCGTCGTTGTACTATCCAGGCCTAAGCCTGCCGAGCGTTCCGACAAGCGCCACGATATGGCCACGTACGGCTTCTCTGGCCCGAAACACAGCGGCATCTCAATACGCCGCAAACACGAAGGCGTCGCAATGGAACAGAGCTCGGCGAGCGCGAGAGGAGGCACGGTTACCGAAAGGATAAATTCGCACTGGCAGTCAAACGTGGCCGGGAGGCCTGCTCCCTTGAGAGTCAATTGTGGCAAAAGAGCGTGCCACATTTCCACTTGGTATTCAGATACAAACTGTAAGAGCGCGAAACAGGCAGAAAGATTAGCGGGCTTCTGAATTGCTGCTTAATTCCCGTCACTCCTTCGCCAAGCCCCAGAGCCGGTTATTTTTCACCGAGTTTCCTCTGCGAAAGGAGCCACTTGCGATGTGGAACACGCGCCGCCCACTTGTGCGCGAGCGAGCGCCCCTTCTTAATAGGACAAAGTCCTGATTGAATCAAGGAGCGATCTTTCTTGATTGAATTATGGGGGGGGGGGGGGGTGTTCTTTATTAGTCTTTGACGGGAGAGCAAGGAGGATGCCGCTGGCACTTGCCTCATCTCTTTCATCACTGAACGCCGCCTCCGCCAAGGTTTGTGAAGACCGCTGATGTGAAGCAGGGGCGACGATTGACGTGGAGCAAAGTCCTTGAGGCGGAGGGGAGAGGTAACTACGTTGCAAATTAGGTGGTTACGTTCAGTTAAGTGTTCTGGCGACTCAGCCAGTGTTGCCTTGTAAAATGCAGGTGCATCTCGTGTGCTCGGCAGGGACTTGCAGAAGGACCTGTCTTTGTGACATCGGGCAATAAACCGGATGGGTGAGTTGACCTGATTAGCATAGCAACGGGATGAGAGTAGGGGCTGCATTCATCGTCCTAGTCGATGTTTCCTGCCTCATACCATAATGCAGGTCTGTAGCATCATCTTCTATGGACTCGCTGCTGCCTACTCCCATACACACGCTCTCCTACCCCTCTCCCTCACATCTCACTCTACACACCTCCACTTACTCTCCACTCTGGCAACCAACGCTTTCAATAAACTCTCCTAGTTCACCTTCCCTCAGTAGGCTACTCATTTTCTTCTGCTGCCCCCGTAGTCTGGAACAGTAATCCGTGCTGTCGACTCCGTGCCCTTGTTCAAGTCCTGGTTCAAGAACGTCCCCATTTTTCTTTGCTTATGACTGATTGCCTGCCCTCTACAAAATAAACACACCCGCTGTTTCTGTAGAGCATATTGAGATGGGGTCGCATCTAGACGCTACGTATATCCACCGTGGATCTTGAATATTAATAAAAGATTTACATCAATTTTTGGATACATCTTTGCCCACCGATTTGTTACTGTACTCAATGCTGTATCTACTGATGAATACACATGTTCGTGCATTGATTCAAACCTCTACAAATCGATTTATTCGTAACGTTTTGCAGGGCCCATGGATGGATGCGGTATTTCTACCATGAAGCAATTTTTCCGTTCTCTCTGCTCTAAAGAAGGGCCATTGCCCTTAACGAGTCCATGTTTTCTCTTGAAAGGCAGTCTTAATCATTCATGCGGTGCTTCTTTTCTACTGGTGCTAGTGCACCACTGCCAACGCAGTCCTTTCATACTCTAGTGAGTCGCGGCTTTCATTTCCGCTGGGCCCATTACCCTGCCTCAGGTTGAGGCATCTGCAGGAAGCAGCGTGGCTGAACGAGACTGCTCCTGCTGGTGGAGCAAGTGAAATGTAAACGTGCAGACCTTTCCGTTTATGAAGCTGCGTCCACTAGAGGGAGTGCACCCCTGCAGATGTCATTGTTTGTCGACTGGCTAAGACGCCTTGGGAGCGGTGGCTGTATCCCACAAATGTAATTTACACACTAAAAACACACACATGCGCATACAGCGGTCCGCGTATCGGTGGGACCATGGGCCAATTGGATGACGGCCAGGAGCCGGTACTCATGACCATGACAAAGCTCCCCCACATAGCGGATGGCCAGCACCACACTGCACCACACCGGGTACTCGTTTTGTGCTCAGGCGACCAAGGAGAGTTCCAGGACCGGTTCAAATAATCGTCACTGTTGTTGGCCGTGAGCTGTATTTGAACTCTGGTCGCCGGGTTCGTATGGCAGCATGCTAACCGCTACTCTTCCGTGCCCACTGCTAGCAAGCACCTCATGACCAACACACACACACACGTGATAACTAGGTGAGAGCCCATTGAGACAACATTTATATTGGCAAGGGAGAGCTTGGATGTAAATAGAAAAATATGTGAAATAAAATATAAGTGCAAAGGAAAACGATTAACACAAACGTCTCAACAAAAGAAAAGAAAATGAATGAACACAGGTAAAACACCATCCAGCAACACGTCATCAGAGGCATGATCAATCCACTGCTGGATGACGACTTCTTCCTTTAGTCGCCAGCACCCTTCACGGTCCCTGCGCGGCACCTGCACACGAGCCCATCTCATCACTCCATCTCCTGTGATACGTTCCACATAAATGAATTGCAATGGTTCAGTGCCCTGCACTTGTATCTGGGCATCATATAACTTATCTGGCTGTATTTACAACACAATGGAAGCACACAGAAGCTGCTACAGCTGTGAAGTAGCATGGGGTTTACACGTTACGGGCAGGGATATTCACCGTGCCTGGTTCCAGGCTGCGATTGATGGACAGGGAGGGATGGGAATAATTTCCATGGGTCTGCTTTTTTTAAAACTGACAATGCCAGCGTTGAGGCTGGTTAGTATCTGAATAGTAGATTGCTTGGGAATACCAGGTATTGTATGTCGCCTTGAAGCTGGTCAGGAGATGGTAGTACAGGAATGGATTCTCTATAGAGCTTTGAGTGTCACCACTTGCTATGCATGGTGGGTTTTCCAGAGGTGTAGTGGTAATTCCCCTCCACTGTAAGTTTTACAAATCGCGCCCACCCCAGTTTAAGGTGTATTCCTCCCTTCCTGAGTGCAGCAGAGTGATTCTCGAGGAGCTCAGCAAACTCAACTGCCTTCTGTCCAACTGCACGTTTGCTCAGGCAGCGTAGATGCTATTGAATTCCCACATAGCAGTCCAGTGTTCGAATGCCACTGCCACACTTCCCTTTAAGCAGGTGTAATACAGCTGTAAAGCACATTAGATTAGATTAAAATGAGAAACCTCTCAACATTAAACCCCATCGCTCAATTGACCCACACATGGACGATGCGCCCGGGATTTCACGAGAGCCTGGCAGGATTGTTCGCACAGCTGTAATTTAATTCCAACATGAACACAGTGTATATCACAATCAACACAAGCGAGGTTTCCATTAGCACACATTTACAATCGTCGGGCTATCTGCGTCTCATTCAATGTGAATGGCTGAGAGGCTCGACACAGGCTTGCACGTAAAACCCAAGATTAGCAAACATCGCTTCCATAAATTCACCTCCGTTCCCTCTGGTCGAGTCAAGACATCGAACGTTTGGTCAGAGCGCGCCGCCGATTTGCACATTTGTACGAAATAAAAACAAATACTTGTACACGCACAGGGAGTATGTGTAACAAGCTGACCGACGATTAAACTTAAAGGGCAGGTATTTAAAACTGCGATTAGACTTGGCCTCAGATGGACACGTGTAGTAATGATTTAGCCATTGCTGGGTCGGGCAGAGGGTGCACAGAGCAGGGCACGAACTCACCGCTCTGCTGTCCGGGCTGCCATGATTGGTTTAAGTTCCTAAAGCTATGGTCTGAAGATCCCAAAAATGCCAAATTTTCTAAAGTGGAGCCAGAAAACGAGCACAAATATGTTCTAACATTTCACAACAGCAGAAAACAATGCACACCTGTGTGCAAAATCGCCCAGTCTGATAGCCCTGCTCACTGCTCCCACCATACATACAAACATCCCCATATACATCCATACAGGCCGTTTGGGACAAAAGCTGATAGCCAGCACCACACCCAGCCACCCTTTTCTTCCCAGTGCTGATATTTACAAACCACAGCAGGTGCTCATTTGAGGCTGCGTCAACGTAAAGGTGGTCCAAGACCGATTCAGATAATAACCACTGAAGTCAGAAGCAGCCGGCAATAGAACTCGGGTTTGCTGGATTTGTAGTGCAGTTCGCAAGCCACTGCTTCCCATACCATACATATGCACACATACAAATATCCCCAAAAAAGTGCTGTTAGCGTTCACCTGTGGTAGCCGGTAGCCAACGACACGCACGGCCACTTTTGTCTCCATATATTCATTTAAGGCTGAGTCAAATTTGAGGAGGCCTAGAACGAGTTCAGATATTCGCCACTGTTATTGGTCGTGAGCGGAATTGAACTTGGGTGGCCAGGTTTACAACACAATGCGTTAATCACTGTGCCACCACTCCCCGGACATATACATACAAACACACACTCACGCATATTAGCATACATATATAACCATACCTAGATGTCATCAGGGTAGCAAAGGTGCAGGTTTTGAAAGAGACAAAGACACAGTAAGACAGAAGGGGAGTGCCACTCAAACGAGAACAAATGAAAGCCCTGAAATGTCTCATCACACTCACTCGGCATCTTCCCCATGCTGCCCCAGAGTGTCCCTAACACTAACGACGTAGAGCTGCATGTGACGTCACACCTCGCCTGCCGAAATCCACTGAGAGGCCATTATAAGCTTACTGCAGATGGCGGTGAATATGGCCTAAGCCTGAGTCATGTCATGCATTACCCACAGAGCTCTGTAAGCTAGATTTTCTGCAACTCTGAAATTCAGTTCCAGAGCCAATCTGTTGCCCCATCCCTAACCCCACCCAATGTTGTCCTTTGTACCCACACATGGTTTATGTCATGCCCATTATCACGGCCCATTATCAAATGCTTTGAATCCCGAAACTGATTATTGGTGGTAGCGGCGCTATTCAAAGCAGCGGCACTTTCCGCTGGTGCCAGCAAGCAGGACATTCATCCCATAGCTCTGGACCCAAATGCTCCACATACCCCGCTCTTTAAGTTGAATTTATGTTCACGGTAACTGCAGTTTAACACGGCCTAATAAAACTTAGGCTTCGAGTAAGACAAGCAGATGTTTATAAGATTATCGGCGCAGACTGGATCTGTTAGTACACACACACGCACGTCTGATTAGAATTTTCACGGAGCCACTGTCAATTTGTATACACGTTAAAACACACAAGTTCCATTTGTTCGGTTCGCAAAATTAATCGAGTTGGTTAAAACATAAATAAGTTAATAAATAATAACAAGCGCGGCGAGTATAATCACGTGTAAACATACAACGATCAGCGGCCACACCGCGCAATGACAACGATCACCGAGCGCAGGAGCAGAGATCGTCTCGGACAGGAGTGTAACAACTCAGTGGTGATTCTATGGGAGGCAACTCATTAGGATGGCTCGGGAGACACCCAAGTTTAAGTTACACAAGTTATCATGTCTCCATGTCACGGATGCCACTCACAGCTTCCCATTGCTCTCCTTCCTTCGGCGAGATCACACATCAGTGGTGCACAGCTGACACTGCCTGACCCCCGAGCTGAGGTCTTATCGTTTCACCCCATGTATGGAGTTCTACAGCAAGTGAGGGCCTGGGTATGGGTGTCCCCTCCCTCCTTGTTAAGCGGTGCCCCAATTCGGTGCCCATCGTTTACCGTGACCTAGAATCACCACTGGTAACACGGCTGCCAGCTCACAGGCAACAGCTGCCTCAATGTCGTGTTGTCCGTTTGTGCCATTTGTGCCTCGCATACCAAACTCTTGGGGTAAATTCCAGTGGCTCAACGACCCCGAACCACCGAAAAGCGAGTCCACCCTTATCACCTTTAATAGGGTGAAGATCACTCCAACACGAGTCCAGGTCAAGTCCTCGCTCTTCATACATCTTCAGAGATCAATTTTTGGTAAGGAATCACATCGTACTTTACAAATGGTATAGCCAGCTTCCACAGAAGTCCATACACCAACCTAATCTACCCCACAGATTTCACTGTCGTTGTCTTATTTATGCTCCTGATTTATAGCTGCTTGCTTGTAATTCTTTTGTAGTTGATTTTTCATAACAAGTTTGTACAGGTAAGCGACATTCTTCTTAAGGGCTCTGAATCAAATTAGACAACACTTTCGAAAACACAAGCCATTTTTTTAAAAACGTCTGCATCATCACCTTCTTTTGAACGTGTTAATTCATTTCACCTTTTTTTTTTAACAAGCAAGAGGCTCGCGCTGTTGTTGATGTTCAATGATGCAGGAGTTCGGGAGAGAAGAGAGAGGAGGAGGACTGGGGACTTCTGGCTCTGGAAATAAAAACAACTCCGAGTCCCATCACGGCATTGCAAGTGCATACACAATGTACTCTCTCAGCTTGCTTGTGAAGCGTTCGAGCCAGGGCTATGGTTAGTCTGGCAAAGGGAAGAAAGCAATGGGAGGAATCGTAGCTCATCCTGCGGGGTAACCGGTGATTGAACGCATCTTGGTAGCCCGAAGGTAATGCACTACACGACACGTTGGTGGAACCTCGTAGCAGCATGGCGGAGCTTGGCAGTCGTCAGCGAGGCCGCGTGGTGAAGAGCTCCTCGCGAAGCCACAGCGGCAACGGCTGCCCGAGGCGGTTCAGCACCTTGGACAGCTCCACATTGTGCTCCCGGTAGTACTCGGCTAAGAATTCCCGTGCCTACGCGAGATGACAGCGCCATCATAATCATCATCACCATTACCATCACTGCTCTCAACACGAGCACTAATACCACCATCATCGTCATCATTACCACTGTCGCTGCATGAATACTGCTGCCACCACCATTACCACCATCATTGTTAGCAATCATCAGCATCAGCAGCATCATCAGTTTACAAACACCTCCGACAACCATGACCACCACCAAGCCTACCGCCAGTATCACTATAATTGCTCAATTTATACAGCCGCCAATCCTGCCCAAACCACCACAATTATCATCAACAGCACCAGCATGGTCATCACCCTTATCGTCATCATCATCACTCGATCAATATAGCCGCTGCTGTCAACACAATAATTAACACAATTATCAACATCACCTGCATCGTCATTATCATCACCCTAATCATCAATCATCACCGCACTATTTAGAAAACAAATCTTAAGACATCTTAATAAGATGACACTGGCGCAGGTAGGCGTGAGGTCGCACGCTCAGTAGGCCAGGGTGGGTGGGTGGGTATGTGGGTGGGTGGGTATGTGGGTGGGTATGTGGGTGGGTGGGTATGTGGGTTGGTGGGTGAGTGGGTTGGGTTGGGTTGGTGGGTGGGTATGTGGGTGGGTGGGTGGGCGGGCGGCTGGGTGGGCGGGTGGGTTGTCGGGTGGGTGGGTATGTGGGTGGGTGGGTATGTGGGTGGGTGGGTGGGTATGTGGGTGGGTGGGTGGGTATGTGGGTGGGTGGGTGGGTATGTGGGTGGGTGGGTGGGTATGTGGGTGGGTTGGTGGGCATGTGGGTGGGGGGAGGCAGGGAGCTGCGCTGTGTCGAGATGGCTGTCAAGGGGATGGAGAATGAATTATTGAATTCCAACAATGGGAGCAGATCGCCCGACAAATAAAGCGCCTGCATCTGTGCCGCTTCATTTCGACGCAGCCACTAAACTGAGTGCAACGATGCACTGATGAGTCATCATCATCGAGTGTTTACATGCGCGATACGTGCATGGAAAAGCGTGCACGATAATTGGCTGTGTTGTATTCAAAATTTATTAAACGTGTTCGTTAAATTGACCTCTGCAGCCACGAGAGTGGCTAAAATTATTCCGTGAGCCAGAGCAGAAATGTATACCACCATAGGTATCAAACCTTTTGCAGTGCTGATTGATTTATACAGCTAATACGAGTGATTACCTGATGATTATCACGTAATTCAGTTATTTGTTACATCAAGTTATGCCACCTCAGGTGGTACCAACAAAATAAAATATCTAGCCTGGGTTCTTCGACCTTTGATTAGCATGTTGGCTATGCATGCTGCGAAATAAGTTGAAAATACATACACATGTCGACTAAAATAACACCACCATGTGAAACAAAATAATAAATTATTGAATACCATTGCAATCATAGCTATTCAAATCGTAACAATTATGAGGCGAGAGGGGTGATTCTGCTATGCCTATTTTATTGTGAACATGCAAGAATGTGGTCGAGCACTTGGGAGGCATAGGGGTTGCTGGATCGCAAAGAGATTACAATTTAAATTCCCAAGACCACTGGGCCATGAGCGACAGCAAGCCAGTTCATTGATCTGTTATCACGCCCTTATATTCATGGACACACAATGAACAAATTACACTCAGCATTCACGTTGGGTCCAGCCCCTTGGCCTGCTCAGTGAGACTCCGCAGCCTCACCTGTGGCTCCATGTCGGGGTACTTCCTTCCCTTGCTCTTGCCCAGGCACTTGGGTTTCCCACCTCCCTCGCTCGCCACGCTCGCCACACCCGCGACACACCAGAACCCCTTGTGCTCGTCAAACCTGAGCCCCCAGAAGCAACCGGGAGGAAATAAAAACAACACAAAAGACAAAACGATGAATTACGAACACTTTTCAACGAATGATTGATGAGATCGATTAGTTTAGTTCAGCAGGAAGAGCCCGATGAACTGCTAGGCTCTATTTCATGGGTGTCCTGCGACGGTACAGATGTTACACAGTTCAGATCTTAGTTACACAAAGAGGTTCAAAGGTTAAAAGCGTCCATGCCTTAACTCTGTCAGGCCATCTGTCCATCTGTGCTTCCGTCCATTTGCCTGCCAATAACGGGGGCCATAGCTATTCTCGTGAAGATTATAATCCAATATGTTGTGTTGCTATTCCTGACTTAGCAAATAAAAAATGGGTCAAAGTGATCGAACGGTTAATGCCCAGAACCTGGAGACAGAATCGCGGAGAAAATAGTATTATTATTTGCAAACAAGCAAACACATCTTGCTCTGATGGCTACGCGTTGGCTTCAATACAAGCTAATTAAAGACAAACGCAATTGTTGGACAGCGTTACATGAATCCACACATATGCATAATTATATATTTTTTTCAAACGCATCAGATTGAGTCATGATTTTCACCATGCTCAAAAGAGCATGTGCCGGCATTCAATTCCATCCGTGACCCAGAGATAGTGGTTGGAAATTCCCATTATTATGCCGAGGACATGTTATCAATAAGACAACTGTTGACATTAAACAAAGTGGTACTCAATTTGTGGTCGACCCTGGAGAGGAGGATGATGATGATCATGATGATGTGTTGCATTGACCCCTTGTCAAGTTATAAATCTGCAACCTTGCCATTGATTCAAGAGCTCTGGTGCAGTGCCACGCTCATCATTATTATTATCGCCATCATCATCATGATAAGTTAGTCTACTTCTCATGTTTAATTTTAAATGTTACTATAAAAGTAAAATTATATCAATATGGCCCGTTGCAATGTATATGGCAATAATGTAATTATCTTCATCGAACCTCAATAGCATATTTATACAAGCTTTCACTAATTTCTATAGTCGACGGCTCCTCACTAATATCGGACACAGCCACGTGTCCATGGCCGGAGCTCCGTGGTGCCTGTCCCACTCTGCGAGTTTCACGGCGAAATCACCACAGTCAGAGCTCCATTTTAGGTGCTCCACAATGGAGCTCCATGACCAGAATTTAACAATGGGAGTTCCATTATAGGTGCTCCCCAACAGGAGTTCCATCATAGGTGCTCCACAATGGAGCTCCATGCTCAGAGTTCCACAATGGGAGTTCCATTATAGGTGCTCCACAATGGAGCTCCATGACCAGAGTTCCACAACGGGAGGTCCATTATAGGTGCTCCACAATGGAGCTCCATGCCAAAAGTTCAAAATGTAAGCTCCACAATGGGTCATCCACAATCAAGCTCCACGGTGAGAAGATTCACAGTGGAATCTCTTTAATGGGAGAGCTCCACCATGAGTGCTACACGACGAGCCCTCCATGCGAGGCGTACGTGAGGGCGTTGGCAAAGTTGAAGTGCGGGGAGAGCCCCAGGAAGCGCTGCACGGAGTCGAGCACCACGGCCGGGTTGCTCCGAAACTGCTGTCCGTCGACGATCAGCAGCTGCAACGACAACAGCGCCACCGTACTCATCAAGCGACCGAGCAGACGGGCCGGTTGGGCCATTGTGATTGTGCGAGTTGGGCAAGTGGGTACCCAGTACCTTCTGGATCGAGTGGTGTGTCTAGTGGGTCGTGTGTTGCATTGTGATTCTCGTTTGAGGATGGCTACACACTCTGGCGTGGGTTTTCCCGTCTCAGGCGCTGATGTGTGCACGTGGATGTGATTGGAATTGTGACGGCAGTGGCTTCCTCATCATTAGCGTGTTCTGACACGCATACCCCAAGACTCATATTGAAACACACAGACCCATATCGAGACTCATAGATTCACACAAATAATTACAGATTCACACAGAGGCCAACTGAGTAACTGGGAGTGCTGCCAGTGGCTTCATCATCAGTGCTCTCTCCAGCAGAAAGGCGCGCGCAGTCTACGTACATTCCCTGGACAACCAGCCTAGCCAGCACTGGTGCAGCGTCATCATAAGCAATCTACCGATTCAAAAACGTATCCACTCTACCTCCATGGCTCTCTGTGTTGTGAATAAGGGCCACCTCCGATTTGCAAGGTTGGTTACTACGGTGCGTAAGAAGTTCAATATATATACATAATATATTGACAAATTAGTTGAGTCGTCAAAATCATCGTCAAGCATCAGCACCGCAAGCTGCCTGCATGCTTTAATCATCAAATACTCCACCTGCGCGGCGTATCTCCTGGAGGGACAAAAAAGCCTCCTTCTCCTCCACCTTTTAGCCGAGCACCAACAACTTTGGAGGAGCCTCAGCTCCGGCCACAATGGCGGGGAGCCGGGACCGCCGGGCGCCTCGAGTGGCCGCTCGCCTGGCGGGGGGCGGCTCGGCACCCTTCCTGGTTTATTCCGCTTCTCTGGCTGCGCGCCACGACGGGGGAGGGGGACGCCTTCTCGTTCCCTAATCTGGACGCCGACTTTGGAAACGTGCGGAAATCACTGCGAGCGGGGGACCAATGACTGGGAATGGGGCCCGGCTCGGGACGAGAACCGCACGCGTGCACGGCCCGTGGAGACTCCCAAGGCGAGGTTTTAAAACCCGCGCACGTAGCCCGCGCACGTAGCCCACGCGCACACGCGTTTTTTGTTGAGTTTTTAATGCGCGGTGCGTTCCGTCCAAGCCCAGATCTTTTGACATTGCTGAAATGGCCTTGTTTCTACCGCGCTTAATGGTGGTATGGGGGGGAGGGAGGTTGGCGGCGCACACGCGTGCCTGATTCCTAGCACCTCGCGCGGACTGGACCTCGCCACTCCTGGCCGAGGACACTCGCTGTCATTAGCGAAACGAGCCACTCATGAAGCTTTGCTCGTTACACGCGCGCGCGTATTTATGTGCGGACGGACGCACATTCACACATGCTGTCATCTATGTTGGTGAGTGCAGACGCATACGTCAATGTGGTCATATTTACTCCCCCCCGCATGCAGATGCAAAAAATAGCAGCATTGACACACACAGGTCAGCATGTACCGGCAAATACAAGCGCATAAAATGACACCTTTCTCAGGGTGCTCCGGTTGCTTCTCAGATGTACACTCATTGTCTGAAAACATCTCCACATTTAGAGGACCACAGAGCTTAGGCAATTGTGGGGGCCGACTCACCGCCTTGTTGCTGCTTCCCTGCTTGTCTATGCGTCCTCCTCGCGCCTCCATGCATTACAAATTATAAAGCGTTGCGAGCTACAAATTGCATGAATGTTGCTGTATAAAACTAAACATCATTTTTCGATTTAAAGCTTTCGTGACTGCAGGGATTCATCTTCTTGGTTCTTTCGGTAATGTCACGTAGAAGGGAAGTAATAAAATAATAAAAATAAAACATAATAAAATAATTCTCACGACGTGTCGGCCACAACGCAAGCAGCCGTCCTCAGGTGAAGACCAGGTCTGTCGAGGAGACAGCGTCTGAATGGACGCTCCCCGACAGACCTGGTCTTCACCTGAGGACGGCTGCTTGCGTTGTGGCCGAAACGTCGTGAGAATTATTTTATTATGTTTTATTTTTATTATTTTATTACTTCCCTTCTACGTGACTTTACCGAAAGAACCACGAAGATAAACATCATTGTCATCATTATTATTTATGACTGCACTGACATACACACAGGTAAGCACGTACCCATGAACATCATTTAGGAGCCTCATAATATTTTTTCCTATCTTTAAATGTGTTGCACTCTGTCTCCCCATTCCTGTGTCTCACTCCGTGTCTCCAACTGTCTCAGCATTGATCTCTGTGTTGTCTCTGTCTCTCTTGCTGTATCTGTGTCTGTCTCTCTGTGTGTCTCTCAGTGTGTCTCCTTCCATGTCTCACTCTCGATCTCTGTTTGTCTCTCCTTGTAACTGTCTATCTCTCTCCACCTCCCTGTCCGTCTCTCTGTCTTAGTGTTGCCTATCTCTATAAATGTATCTCTCTATGTGTCTCTCCCTGCATCCATCTCTGTGTCTCTGTTTGTCTCTCGGGGCTTTTTGTTAAATCAACAATGGGGCTCCGATTAGTAGTGAATTGGTTCTGCACATACACACAGGCAAACGCGACCACACACACACGGATGAATGTAAGCTAAGAGGACTGACATTTTAGGAAATGGCTCTTCATCACCCTTGTACGGGGTCTTGAGACGCCGTCGTATCCAGACGGTCTACACATCCAAGTTGTATCGTGTTCATCGGAGCAGAAAAGAACGGCAATTGTCTCAAACACTAACCTCCGTTGAAATGTAGTTTTGGGGCCAACAGTGGTAAAGTGTTTCTGATGTTAGCAATTATAATGTCAGTGCATACACAGTATTCACATAGACTAACAGAAGCTCATACACACACATAATCCACGTTTAACCTTGTAGACCAAAGATACAATTTCGATTAAAAAAATATATCACAAAATATGTTTGCTTTTTTGTAAATCCACTGCTGGATGACAGCCTCCCTATGCTATATCAGTCGTGGGGTTTAATCTGACAGTGCCCCGCCAAGCTGGTCAGTGCCTGTCGGTCCAGGGGGAGGGGGGCCTTGTGCCAGTTCAGATATCATTCGCAATACATGTTATAGCCATGGCTAGGAATTTAACTCAGGTTATGTTATCAAAATGCCCTCCACCTACTAAATCACATACCCACGTTAACACGCATGCACACTCACGCATGTCTGCACGCAGACACAATGCAAAGATCCCTGTATATCCTTGACATACTTTGGGGAAAGTGCTGTTCGTAAGCACCTATGAAGGTCGGCACGGCACACGAGGTGATGGGTAGCCATTCGTATATCTGGTCGCCTTTGTCTTCCCAGTGGCGATGTTTACGCACTAAACCAGGTGCTCTCTCGACCAATGGGAGGCCGAGGACAGTTTCAGATAATCATCACTGGTGTTGGCTGTGAGCGGGAACTGAAATTGGGTTGCCAGGTTCTTAGCTAAGCGCAGTAACCACTGAAACCCCAATTCCCAACAACAACAACCGCCATTCGCCCCTAAATGGTGGTGACATCACCACAGCACTTGTGCCAAGCTAGGTGCACTTTGAGGCCACGTGAAGTGTCAAAGACTCGCTGACTGGAGATCACAGGACAGACCCAGGTGCCATTGATTGACTGCTGTGCCAGGCTCGGTGCAGGAGGAGGTCACGAGAAAGACCAAGGTGCCATGAGTTGACTGAGATTACTTGAAGATGCACCAACTGTGCCAACAGCAGCTTGTGGCGAGCCATACAACAAAGCCGGTCACTGCGTCGCGCTTCCAGATGCGCTTCTGCAGTCGTGTGGAGCGCTCGTCCTCCAGATCTTAGAAAGCCTCTGGAGCTATGCACGTTTAAGTCAGGATTGAGAACGAATTCCTTTAGAACTTGTGTTTCGTTTGTTGTCCTTTCCCCACATCTCCGATTAGCGTGGTTGGCTACATAACGGTGCAAAGAAGTTCAACATCGACACATAAATACGACTTGCTGCTTTTTAGCCACTCGGCAATCTGCTCGTTGTTGTGAGGATTGCTCCTCTGCCCTCCTCTGTTGTTGGAGGGCGACTGCCTCCAACTATCCCGTAGCATCCTTCACAAGCCTCCTCCATAGAGGCCAATTTTGACACCGCTGGCACGAGTCATCGGCAAGTCCACTCAGCTCCACATCCTCCTGTACCACATATCAGTCCATCTCTTCTCCAGCCCATGTCGCGTTTAGTCCCCTCGAACCAGTTGAACAAACCTGCTTGGACATGTGGTGGTCGGCATGTGGGCTACGTGGCCTAGCCAATGTGGCCTCACCTGCCAGAGGAGCTCACCAAATGGGGAATGTTTCAAACCGGTGCAGATACTCCTCCTTCAGAGGGGTCCACGTTTCACAAGAGTAGAAAAGGGAGGACACAACTAGTGCCGAGAAGACCCGAAGCTTCACGTGGAGCGACAGGCCAGGGGGCTTTCACGCAGTTTTATGCAGCTGATGAGAATAAAATTGTCACTGGTGTTGGCTGTGAGCGGGAATCGAACTCGGGTCCCCGGGTTCATAGCGCAGAGCGCTAACCGCTGCACCACCGCTCACACACACAGTGACAGGAGGGCACGCACCTGCCCAGGTGGGTAGAGGGAGAGCCACTTGTCGGCATGGCTGCTGTAGAGGCCGGGCTGCAGGCAGCGCCCCTGCAGGACGCGCAGAGGGAAGGGCGAGTCGGGCCCGGCAGACACCACCTCCACAAACGAGTGGTTCAGCGCCGCCACGTCGCCGTGCACGCGCTGGTGCTGCACGCGCGCACGGACATACACGCACGGACTCGCATGAACACCACACGTGCACGTACCCACCTACACATACTTGAACACACGCATGCCCTAAACATTACAAAGGCAACGATCTTCCGCATAGTGAGTATTTGTGAAGGCTGGCACGGCACACGAGGGGGTGGGTGGCCAGTATCACACTCGGCGGCCTTTGTCCCCCTAGTGGTGATGTTTAGACAATTGTACCAATTACTCATTATAAGGCTGAGTCGACCTAGGGGAGGCCCACGAATGGTTCAGATATTCGTCACCGATGTTGTTCATGAGCGAGAATCAGACACGGGTCACTAGATTCGTAGCTCAGTGTGTTAACCACTACACCACAGCTCCCTACACGCACACATCCACACGCACACATCCACACGCACGGCTTTGCTTTGCTTTTGTTTAATTTACTTCGTATGCGCTTTTCCAAGCAATTAACAACTTTTTTCCGCATGAGAAGTTTAATTCCTTTACAAATAATAACAATAATGAGCTCTGCTTTTTGTGATGTGGAAAAAAAGTTCAGTAATTAATTACACGTCTAGATGGTTACAGTATCAACAAAATATATTTTTTTAAACTGCATATCGCTCCAGAGATGGGGGGGGCAATCCACACACGCCTATTTGACTCCACATATCTTCGTTACCTTAATTTTAGTCTTTTACTTCCATTTGTTTTATTCATTTATGCAGGCCAGGGCCTATTCATTACGTAAGTAATTAATTTATGTTATTCATTAATTCATCGGTTCATCTCGGCTCTCATGCCACCTAACGTTGGCCTAATCCACTTTGGCTTTTGCCTGTAATGAATTCTGCCGTTTAAGTACCGATCCATTCATTACAACGGACGTTTATTGATTTATTCCCTAAATTATTCATTTTTCACCATCATCAGCATCGCCAAACATGCACCGCCTAATGACAGTCATAATGAGATGCATCAGTGTTGCACGCTCGGTCCATCCGTCACGTCGTCCCGCGCGTGCCACGTCACAACGCAGCGGAGCAGTCGTGGACGCACGACCCCGCCTCGCCTCGCGACTGCGGCTCCCATCGCCAACGCTGTCGGGACGCGTGCGCGCACGTGCCTTTGTGTGGCCGTGCACAGCAGACTTAACGTCAATCTGCCGCGTGTGTGGTGGTGGAGCGCTTGTTTCGTGGTCGCTACGTTTGGTAGAACAGAAGCATACGGAAGCGTGTTGCAGTTGTTATTTGGACGGTGTTTGGACTCGATATTATCTGCCCAGTAAACATGCAACGTTGCGCTAACGACGGGTATGTGGTTGGATCCGTTGGACCAACGTTGACTCAACGCTGGGCCGACGTTCCATGTTCACTCGGTGAACACTATGTAGGCATCCGAATGGGAGGTAGCGATGTCACAGGCCTCTTGTCAATCCACTGCTGGATGACGAGAGGCTCCGCGCGGCCGATGATATCACATCGCGGCCGCGCATTTGCTGCTCATAACAGAGGTTGACAGTCAGAATCCACTGGCTGCCTGATTACCACTGCAGGCGTAACAATTTTAAAATCACGAAGCGCCATCGGCTTCACAGTGGACGTCATTCACAAGAGAAGGATATTGCATGGCGGCATCGGGACAACTGATAAGTGGCATCCACAGATCTCATCGGATATCGGAAGCTCAGAGGTTCTGTCCAAACATGGATTCGTTGAGTTTGGGTGATCGACTACCACGCTTATAACGGTGTAAGGCGAAACAAATATATAGCAAATATATAACAGGCGACGTTTCGAGTAATGGACTTTTTTTCTAGCACGCAAATGTATGATTTTCATGTCATGAAGAAGGGACATATCCCAAAACGTCGCCTATAATATATATTTTATATAATTATTTTCAGGAGGCATTATTGATGAATGTGTTGATTGTTGTTGTTAATTGTGCTTCTGACACCACTACCAATTATCAGTAGCAGGGTCACCAAATAATGTGCATGTTAGAGGCTGCTGCGGAGCTACGTTATGGGCAACACTCTTTTATTGTACTGTACTTCGATGCCCTCAGGTCTTTGCTACCCACCTTCTCCAACCCGCACTGACCAGCGCAGTAAAATATGAATCGACTAAGTTTGAGTTCGGTGACGTGCGAGCACAATGGTGTGTGCACTGACGATATAAACCCAGTGGCTTGAGACAAGATTGCCAAACACAGCCAACATCGGTGGCCGTTGATACCTGAACCTATCCAAGCTTCGGCCTATGCTTCTCCAGCCCACACTGACTCGTGTGGTGAAGTGTGATCATATAGCCACCACAATGCGCACAGCATCAGGGAAGCCTTCATCAGATGCCAGTTTTCCGAAGTTTGACAGAGATGGACGCGGCAGCCGAGGAGGATGCTAAAGAAGCGCACCTATTCACCCACTGTGCCCTGTTTACATTTTCCTCTGGAAATGTCGCGCCCTCTTAGCGCGATAATTAGTGGAGTTAGCAGCTGACAAAGCCCCGGAGCCAATTATCTCCCCGGTTTTTTGGTTCAGCTGATGCAGGCGAGAAAGCTGCTGGTAATTGCACTGCTCGCACCCCCTCCCAACTCCTCCTCAAGCGAAGGGAGTGGTGGGTGATGGGTGGTGGGTGGTGGTGGTGGGTGGTGGTGGGTGGTGGTGGTGCTGGGGGAGGGAGACGGAGGGGGTGACAGAGCGAGACGACGCCCGACAGATGCCAGGGGAGGGGCTCTGGACGTCACCGAGTCGTTTTGATCGCCGCCGCACGACAAACGCATCGTGTAGCTGTGTTAGAATTTCTTAATAAATAATGGCTTATACACATTTTTTTCTAAAGTTAACAAAAGTTTAAAACGTTTCAGAGATTATGTATGTTCAAACATTCCGTACAGACCAGAGCTGCCCGGCATCCAAGAAGGTTCATGGGAACGCTTTGGATGAAGTCTCGGAGTGTCAAGTGTCGAGGGAGGCCCATGGAGGCCGTTCTTCGGGGGCACCGCATCTGGCTATGCCGCCCCTTCCCCTTCGCATGGTGGCAAAACAAGACGGACGAGGCGCAGTGAGGCCGGCGGCTGAGGGGAAGAACTAAAGCCAGACGACGGTCGTGACGATGCTCTGAGACCAACGACTGGCAGGGTGATGGAAGAGACGGCGAGGTGTGGGCGCATCACCAGCATTTGGTGATCCATGGATCGTGTTGCCTGTGCTACAGTTGGGCGGCGAGGAAGTAGAGGTGGGAGGGGAGGCAGCTCTCACAAACGCCGACATTGTTCTCGCTTTCACACAGCCCGGGACATGTGGCAATGGTGTTTCAACAATTGTCAGAACAACAGGCCCTGTCAAGAAATGTCACCCTTAGCTTAACGATTCAATGTACCCTCCAATGGGCTGAGATATTCCCACGGCACACAGTACTTAATAAGCACTAATTGGCATTGATTGCCTTTGATTGCGCGGTGGATTTAACTCCTTCTCAACAAAGCACGGGCTTCAAATTGAAGGACCTCACAGACACCTTTTGTAAGAAAAAGAGGTCATCTATGGAATTGGCAAGATAATTTAATTTTAATTAACAAAAATATGTCTTTATAGCGACGTGCAACTTGCTGGGAACGGCGTCTCTTTTGCAAGACAGAGAGTGCGTCTGACGATTGTCCGCTTCCCCAAGTCAATAAATGTTGTTTCAAAACACAGGGCACTGGTGCCCTGCGAGCACTGCGACAGACGCACACGACGGCTGAACTGGCGACCGAGTCTCTCGAAGGGGTGGCGACGACATCGCCATCGCTCGTCCCCTCGATGCACTCTCCCACATCTACTCCTCTCATCTCACTCTACTCTCCTCCACGCACTCTCTGCACCAACAATAAAGGCTTTCTGTTGAACACCCCAGCCAAGCTCAATGGGAAGTTGCTAGTTCTCCACTGCTGCCCCCGTAGTTTGGAACTCCCTTTACCCCAGCCACCCATGCTGTCGACTGCCTGCCCTTGATCAAGTCCAGACTTAATTAATGTATCTCCTCTATCTATGATTGACCACCCCTCTCTCTAGAAAATAATATATTCACTTTTGACGTACTGCATGTTGAGATGCAGTCATATTTAGATGCTACCTAATACTTATTTACCCTAGAATGCCAACAACAATTACATTGAATGTTTTTAATGACGGAATGAAACCGGAGAACCTAGAGGAAACCCATGCAGACCAGGGGAAAGAACTTACAAACGTCTCACAGAAATGTGACCGAGTCAGGTATCGAGCCCTTGCGACGCGAGATGCACAACTCTTATCCCTGCGCCGCCATCCTACCGCCCCACATGAATCCACACCGCGTCGTGAAGTTAAAGACCGGCTCGTCTCGCGCGGTACAGAGGTCCAGGCGTAAAGACGGCACGGAGACGTACTCAACGGGGGATACGTGCTCTAGTCCCGCGTGGTGCCAGGCCTCAATGGGGGCTCCTCGGGTCACCGCAGACCATTGGGGATTTTAGGGAAGAGGCGATTCTCTTCAGGCCAGATCGATGCGTCGGCTCTTAGAGATCAGCTCTTCACGTGTGGCGTGTTCACGCATCGGCGACGACCGTCGCTCTTACTGACAGCCTGTTTTGCTGGTGCCAAGGATTGCGCCGGCCAATAACACACAGTGGGACATTTCCCGGTTTAAGTAGAAGTGTTAGTCATACCAGCCTTAATAGGTGCTCGCAAACAGATATTGAAAAAGTAGAAAGAGTTGGCTTAAAGCTTTCGTGACTGCAGGGACTCATATTCTTTGGGTCTTTCGGTAAAGCCACGTAGATAGAACAAATAATAAAAATAATAAAAAATAATAACAATATTACGACGTTTCGATCGTAATACAAGCAATCGTCATCAGGTGAAAATATAGCGGGGTAGCTACTGAGAATATATGGTGGGAGCGCTGCTCAGGCAGAATGTTTTAAAGGTTAATTGGGTTGGGTGTAGCCCAAGGGTCAGTGGGCGGGGCTAGAGATGAAATTTGCATGTAAATGTAAGATCAGAGAAATCTTGACAAACGAAGTTGTGGGGGAGGCCATTGTATTGTGAGATATTAGCATGTCAATGTAAGAAATTTGCTTGTCAATGTAAAAAAAAAATATTGTAAATGTAAGCTCGGAGAGAGCTCGGAAAGAGCCATTGCCACATGGAGGTGGAAAAGGATGGCAAGCCACCATTTAGTAACACAGCTAACGGTGGCTGTGTTAGTGAATGTAACTCAGAGAGTTGAAAATAACTGCTAACATAGGTAGGTAGGGAGGGAACATTACTTCCAGTTACGACCATTGGGGGGGCGGGGGGGGGGGCTCAAACATGGACATATCAGTCTAGACCGATCCAATCCCAAGTCGGGGTTTGGGGGAGGTGAAACAGTAACCTGTCACTCTGGACCGATACATTTCATATCAGGAGGGAGGGGGGGGGGGCGAAACCGCCACACATGCCATTCGAAAACCGATCAAATTCTGCCTCTGATTGGGGGTGTGAAGCCGCGAGCTGCTCCGCACACGGGTCCAACCGCTCCCACCTGGAACCAGGAGTAGGCCCGCTCGGCCGGGTTGATCACGATGGCGATGAGACGAGCGCCGGGCAGCAGGGCGTGAGCGCGTCGAGGGGCGGCCTCCGAGTCAAAGTAGTTGGCGCTCTTGTCAAACAGCTGCACCGTGCTGGCGTTTGCCATGGCTGGAAAGTGAGCCATGTACCTAAGGGAAGCGGAGGAGGAATATTTCAGTGGCGTAGCTATCGAGTGCGCAGGCGATGCAACTGCACTGGGGCGGCACGGGCCGGAGGAGTTCCATGGGGCAGGGCCACGAATATGGTAGATAATACATTGGAGAGGGGGCTTCATTCATTCCTTGCAACAAGGCCTACACCAACAACACAATACCACTAGAATAATCATTATTATTATGATGATAACAATGCTTTGTGTCCAGCAAATCCCAACTGAGTCTCAAGACCCATTTTCAGGAGGGTCCTGCTACACTGGAATGTTTTGCTTCACACAGGAGCAATCCCAGAGAAACCCCTTGGGAGGCCACATTCCAGCACAGGGCAGCAGCCTGAATTCGTTTGATATTGGAGGAAATCATGGCGTGAAATGTAAATCCTCTGACCAGGCGCAACTGGTAGTGATTTGAGGGTGAGAAGGTGACCGGCTGCTCTTGCGGCATTGGAAAAATGGTCGTCCATGGTGTGAATTCCTCCGAGCAGAGCCTCATTATAGCTAAATAACACTCAACACATTTGTCAACAACACAGAGGCCTAAAATAGAAAACGTATATAATAAGCGACACTTCTGGCAATTGGAATCTCCTCACAGTGCACCGAGTAGCCAAAAGGGTAGAGTGGATAATATTATGGAGATAGCACTTTATAAAGCTAAGAAGACATACATGTTCCATCCATTTCGATTTAAAGCTTTCGTGACTGCAGGGATTCATCTTCTTGGTTCTTTCGGTAAAGTCACATGACTTTATCGAAAGAACCAAGAAGATGTTTCATCCACTTCTGGATAAAGGCCTCTCCATGCTATGTAGGTTGTGGGGACGACCTGACAATCCATCCCCACGCTGGTGGGTGTGGGTTGGTGAACGACAGGCGTGTAGAAGCACAGTACAACAGTAAAACATTTTCCTTGCCTGCAACACAGCTCCCGCAGCAGCCTACTACACTTGCTGCATGCAGGGTGGCTGCCTATCCACGCACTATCCAGGCTTAATCCAGCTTAGCGTCCGCGATCGGGCAAGATTAGATGCATTGCGGGTGAATTGGTCATAGGCTCTACCAATGTACACATAGGTAGGTGCGTGCATGCCGTGCATGCTGGCTGGCTGGTTGTGTGTAGGGGTGGTGTGTATGAAGAGTGGCCACCCTTCCCTCAAAACATCAATCAATTCAGGGGGTAAAGACAACCTGGATGTAATATCCAATACAGGCAGGAGCCAACTTATGGGCATAAAGTGAACAACACACACACACATTTACACATCTCAAAAACCTGAATCCCACCGCACATCTCCTCTCGAAACAACCAAGGCCAAGCCGACGGGCGCACTAGGAAATCCCAGCGTTGGGCACGATAAATAAAGAAGAGTTGATCTGTAATTCAGACTGAGCACTTTCATCAGCTCGATTTGTAGGAGAAGGGGCGAAGGTCAGGGGGGAGATATGTTCCTCGTGGTTCACCCCGAGCTTGCCGAGGCATGGGAGGCCCCTGTCGGGAGTGGGTCGGGCTCACCAGTCGAGGCCATGGTGGTAGTTATTGCCGTTGAAGAACTGCACCTCCTCGAAGGTGGTGGGACTAGGCAGGCTGGGGGCAACGGCCGGGTGCAGCGTCAGGAACGAGTGCAGCGCCGTGGTGCCTGCGCAGGGTGTGTTCAGGAGGGCGGGGAGGGGCAGGAATAAGCACGGTCAGTCACCATCACCACAGCATTCCACAAGACCACCACCATCATCAACATCAACTCCAATAACAATGCCACTGTTACCACCGACAGCCAACAAAACCGCATCCAAAAAGACCAAAACCATCAAAAACGTGACAATGTTATCTACACAAACAACACCCACAGCATCATCAAGAAAAACACCACGAGCATGATCACAAGCATTAGCAATTGCGACCGTTAATTACAATCACAATTTGCATTTGTGATGCATTACTTCATCTCACGACGCTGAGCAGAATTGGTGGCAATGCTTAATTTATTTCGTTCCCAGAGAGAGGCAGTGAGCGATAGGCAGAGGAAAACAGGAGGCCTTAAGCTTGGACATGAATCACGAGAGGGGGGAAAATCACGAGACCCCGTGTTTTAATCACGCAGAAACGCCACATTGAGTCCGAAGACTATTTTTAGGAGGGTCCTGCATTGAGATGCTTGGCCAACACCAACAGACATGTCTTTAGCTATTAGATCCTGGAGGAAACCCATGCAAAACAAGGGGAGAACTTACAAACTCCACACGCAGAAAGGCGGGCGAGTCAGGAATCAAACCCAGGTCAATCTTACTGTGCAACACAACTGTTGCCACTGTGCCACCACCTTGTACATATCAGCGCTGCATTTCAAGAAATGCCAACCTGTCTTTTGCGGGCCCAGGATGAGGAATGTGGGAAGCCGATCGCAAGTCTTCTCTCTTGACCAGATATCCCTGTGTCGCTTGTCTTCGCACGGATTCTGCAAGGCATGTTCAGTGGCTATGTAAACAAATGACACCAATAATAACAATCGTAGTGCTGTACATTAGAATATGGATTGAAGATATGAAGGGTTTTTTATATATATAATAACAACTTATATTATTAACGGACTAAAAAACAGTATAATAATCTCAGATTTGTTGACGATATTTTGAGTATAAAGTACAATGGGAATGCAGGGCAGGAAATGCTTAAAAATAACCAAAAAAAATCTGCAAAATTGGTCTCAGAATTAAAATATCAAAACAAAGGTCATGTTAAACAAGTTCGCTAATCAATAGCAGATATATTTCAGAGAAAGACAACTCCAAAACACAGGGGAATATCTATACCCAAGGGCAATTAATGAAAGTGGACAAAAATGATGAGATAGAGAGGTGGAGAAGAGCAGGATGTTTTTTTTTCGTCAAAACAATTGTTCTTCATCATGAGCCCCATCACCCCGTTGTCTGAAAAGGGGAGTTTTCAATCAGTGCCTGCTATGACACGCATCAGAAACACAAACACTGACAAAGAAAAGTTGAAAAGTGTGGAAATAAAGGATGAAGAGATGTACAAAGGCAATTGCAATGAGGGACAGAAAGATGAACGTATGGATCAGGGAACAAATTAAAATTAAGATTCATGACGTGAGTGGCGAGCCCACTCTCTCCCCTGCTCTAAACCCAGATGCACAGTGTTTGAGATTGAAGCCCGCGGACTTTCTGTACCCCCCACCCCCTCGCATCACGGTTTGTGCTCTGCACCGGGCTCCGATTGAAATGCAAAATAAATACAAAATCATCACGTGAACTGTTACGGAAAGCAAGTGGGCTCGAGGGTGAATATTGACATTGGAATCGCAGTTCAAATGAAAGAATTCGCCCAAGAGTACGCCCGTCATGGAGATGGAATGACGAGATGAGAACGTAGAAAGTTAATCGCACAGCAGGGCACATGATATAAGAAATGACAAATGCCCCTCCCCCCCCCCCCCCCCCCACTACGAAATGCAAGAGAACATGTGGCACGGTAACAAGTCATGAATTCATTTAATCTACTTTACTAGGTGGATGAGAACCCATTGAGACATCAGATTCCCTTTGCAAAAGGTGGCTCAGGTCAACAAGTGACAACCGAGAAACACACTTCACGCTTCACGGGTGAAGCGTGAAGTGTGAGTGGTGCACTCTGCTCGGTGTGTAACGATTCACCCCCCACCGCAATTTGATGATGAATTGTCACAATTCAGGGTCACTCCATTAGCCTTAAATGTAACATTTGCATATCATTTTCATTCAAATTTGCATAGATCGTAAATCAATTCTTACATGCACGATTCGATGGATGTACCGTGAGCGTAAGAATCAATTTTAGATGTGGCCGAGTGGCGCAGAGGTCACAGCGCTGAGCTGGTACCACTGCGATGATGGGTTGTATGTATGCATGTATGTTGAACTTCTTTCACACCGTTTGTAGCCAACCATGCTAATCTGAGCAGCCAGTTGTGATTAAACTGGGCTCGCAAGTGTAATGAGTTGATGATCTTGGGGCGGTCACCAATTGGTTCTGCACTAACTTTCAGATTTGGGAAAATATACAGGGTGGGCCATATGTAACAACCTGATTTGAAATAGCGGTATTTTGTGTTAAATAATTTAGTTAACATTTTTTTGCAAAAATAAAGTTGATGATGAACTGGTATACACCTCAGCAGCCTACAAGAATAGTTGAAATTCAGTCGGAATTCATTTCAACTGAATTTCTTATTTCAATACAGAGAGACGATGGCAGATATTTGAGGACCCGAAGGGCTCCAACTCCGCACCGTGTCAGAGTGTTGATTTCCACATTTCTGGAATCAGGAACAACGGTGGATGAAAAGCGTTTGTTGGCAGACCTCAAACCAGTCAATCTCTGACTACTATTGAGCAAGTGAGTGAGAGTGTCAATGAGAACCGCGAAACTTCGACAAGGAGACGCTCCGCTCAATTGGTGATCGCACGATGGTCGCTGCGGCGAATCTTGATACAGGGCTTGCATCTTGACTTAAAGCATTCGTGACTGTAAGAATTCATATTCTTTGGTCTTTCGGTAAAGTCACGTAGATAGGTTCAAAGAAAATGACAAAATAACAAAAAACTACGACGTTTCGATCGCAACACAAGCGGTCGTCATCGAAACGTCGTAGTTTTTGTAAATTTTTTGTTATTTTTTTTACCTATCTATGTAACTTACCGAAAGACCCCGAAAATATGAATTACTGCAGTCACGAAAGCTTTAAGTCAAGATTTAACAAACAACTCAACACGTTCGTCAATAACACTGTGGCCTTAATAGGAAATATATATATATACAACAGGTGACGTTTCAGGCAATGGCACTTATTCTTCATCGCACGTAAACAAAAAGGCCGGATAGATAGCGTGGATAATAACAGTTGATAGATAGCGTGGATAATAACAGTTGCAGATTGCATCGTACACCACTGGTCCAGATGCAAATTAAATGCGAAATAGATATTTTTCGATGACCGGTTTTGAAGATGGCATGTGAAAAGTTACCTAATAGTAGCTACTGAGAGCCAGAAAAACCTTGGAACGAGGTAACCGTGTGACTAAATAAACTCAGTTATTGTAATACCTGCCAGAGGGGCTCGCGGTCCTCGGGGAAGATCTGGAAGTACTTCTCGGCGAGACGCACGGGCGGCAGCGTCTGTAGCCGGAGGTGCGTCCAGCAGCGCACGAAGTTGAGAAGGCTCTCGAAGGTGTAGAGGCCCAGCCGGTCATTACCATAGTTGGACAGGTGCGTCATGAATATGCTCACCTGTAGCCACACGCGCACACACGTGCACGTGAGCAGCCGGGCGGTAGTGAATCAGCGCTGGCCATTGTGCCGCCAGTGACTCCGAGCGCGGGTCCGGCCCATGAATTGCCGCGTGCAGCCACATTTTGGGAATTTTGATTTGTTCCATTACGGATGGGACCTGTGTCGTTCACCTGCCCACCTCATCACGGAAGAGACTAGTTCTACAGTAGAATACTTAATAATAAATCCGTGCAACAATTGCCAACTAACTCGGTAATGGGCCTATCATTCGTGTGGTGTATTTTAAAGGTTCGGTCATCAGCACAATCGGTATTTATTTCATCTTGATGCATATTGTTCTATCCTTTGCATATGATGGAATATGTTCAGCAGATAAATGCCAAAGGTGAGGCCTGCTAGCCACAGTAAGAGGACTTAAGGAGAGAGTTCGTGTAGTTGTGCTATTCCTCCTCCGCTGAAGGAGCGCAGACTAGAGTGGTTTACTACATGGTCCATATTTGGGTTACTTTGGCTTGTCTTTAATTTCCCTTTCATCCAGAAGATGTGTGCATTGACCTGCTGATGTTCTGATGCGGTTGATGGCTTGACCAGCGTCGTCGTCGAAGAGGAATGTCAGAGCCAGGAGGTGCGATGTTTGTGTTTCGAACGAGATGTTTATTCTAGATGTCTGCAGTGTTCCACTCTGTTCCCCAGCATTCTTCCCGATCTGGGTGAGATCTAGGATGGTGACAATGCGATCTCCAGTAAGGGGATCGCGACTTGAGTCGGCGGTGAGGTACGTCACTGAGTTCTTGGCTGATGTGTAGATGATTGCCGTTGGCAAAAAAAACCGTGCGAACCCCCTTACTGAATGAAGTGTGCAGACTGAAATATACAAACATTTGTTTAAAAGCCCCCACCCTCTCGGCTCTGTACATATATGGACCTGTTTCAGCAGCCTGTTTCTCTTTTCCACCTGAGGACGACCGCTTGTGTAGCGATCGAAACGTCGTGATCTATTATTTTTATACGTGATTTTACCGAAAGAACCAAAGACTATGGATTCTTGCAGTCACGAAAGCTTCAAATCAAGGCTTGTTCAAAGGGTTGTGAGTTTCTATTAGCCATTGAAACGTTTTGGGGTGGGGCGTGCCCGAACACCCACGACACGCACAGTGGCTGAACCTCTGCAGATGAATGACCTTCACTGCGTGAACCAATGTGGCATCTTGGTCATCGTCCAATGGTGGAGCTCAAGGGGTGACTGGGAAAATAGTTTCACGCAGATAAATCGGTCCCCATTCACTTGGTGGGGCTCAGACCTTTGACGCGTATGGAGATTATGAAGGTAGTGCATGGAGCAAGGACGTTTATGTGATGGGGGGTGGTGCAGAGGCAACTTCAGTAGCCGTACAAAATGAACATTAGATGAAGGGCATTAGCAATTTCATTTTATAAATTTTCATTTAAAGTTGAAAGCAAAACACAAAAACAACGGACAACAAACATCTTCTTTTGCCATAAGCAAAATTCAATTAAAATATAAATGTCAAAAGGTGGCAGGATAATTATGAAAACAACTTGCAAGCGGAAAGAACAAAAACACGCTCGGTCGCTCGTGCGGCAGAGATTGCATCGACGCCGGTGTAGCTGAGACAAGAGATAAGGGCGGACATTAATACATAAATTAAAGAACAAAGAAACGGCATGACGGAATAAAAATAACAAAGCAGCCTTGCCAGATGAGAGCCCTTGTAATACGAGGGCGACGAGGGGAGGAGGGGGATTGAAAGGAAAACATCACAACCCTCCCCCAATGGAATCGCTGAAGCAGAGGATTTGATTTTGGGAGGACGTGCGGTGGAGAGGGCAGAGAGGGGAGATGGGAGTTTGCCGATGCAATCCGGGGCTCTCATCTCTCACTGAGGATTTTCTTGGTTGCTGGTGAACTGGGCTCAGCAAGTAAGTAGGAGTTACAGCCATAACGAAAGGTATACTGGATGTAGTGTGCCGAGTACAGATACAATTGCGGTGTGCAGATACAATTCCCACATCGCTGTTAGACTGGAGTAGGCACGTGACTAGCAGTTGCAGCCATAGCGAGAGGTACACTGGATATGGTGTGACCAAGGCAGCCGACACAGCTGGAGTGCACAGCCTCTGTGTGTGCACGTACAGGGTTCAGCAGCAGAGTGAGGAACAGCTCCCCTCCGCGAATGCTGCGGTCGAGCTCGCCCGGCCCGCCCGGGTACTCCTTATAGAAGATGGTGTGCGTGAAGAGACCGCAAGTCTGCCGGGGCAGCACCTGCCGGCGGCGAGGCCAGAGAGTGGACAGGAGGAGGGAGGAACGCGGGGGTGCGGTGGGGGGGATTGGTATTGCAAACATCAAAAACACTTCGCCATTGTGGGCACAGACGCTGCCTTGTAACAAGGCCGAGTGTGTTAGGTAATTTTCCTTCTTTTTTGCTCCGATGAACATAGTACAACCTGGATGTCTGAATACGATGGTGTCTCAAGATGCTGTACAAGGTTAAAAAGGGACTTTGCCAAGAAAGTTAGCCCTCTTGCGTACAATTAGCAGTGTGCATGTGTGATTAAGTCTGTATGTGCATACAGAGCCATTTCATTGCTAACTGGGACACTGTGCTCACCTGAGAAAGCAGCCCTCCAGACAGAGACAGACACACAAAGATGAGACATGGAGCGATCAACAGAAACAAGCATAGGAATGGGGGAGTACCCACACTCCCCCCCACCCTCCAATTACCCTGGATATTTAAGAGTCGACTAATTAATAGCCCTTCGCCACTCGACTGCAGAATTAATGGCTGCCTATGCCGTGTCGGTAATGGCCGTTGTTTCACCATATTTCACCACACTGGTCGGTGTGGGTTAGTAATCGGAGGTAGCGGGGGGCGACCCAGGACAGGTGCAGATATCATTCAGGACATGGCTGGTAGCCACGGTCGGGAGTCTAACTCAGATTGCTAGGTTTAGCAAGTGGGGTGTATTTACCACTGTGCAGCTGCTCCACCAAACCCAACTTGTTCGGATCAAAATGTCCCGATTTTCATCCATGTAAGTTGAGTGACTTCCCATTCCCAAAATGCAATTGTTTAGCCCTCACTGCCCCTTGGCAGCTGGTGTAACGTGATTTATACATCGTTTTGGGGAGCTGCCTCTGGACTCGAGCTATTCTGCCATTGGGTAGAATGCGTCGCGTGCAGGTCATTGCTCCTTTCCCATTTCACTACTACCCAAACAAAAATAGAACCATTTAGCTCGAGAACGCATGCAAATTAAAGATGTCATGCAGAGTGCTAAGAAGAGGTGAACCGTTTTGGTAAGCCACGTCGCGAGAAGGGATGATGCCCAATAGGGTCGAGGCTGGTGATGAAGTGGCAGCCCAAGAAGGAAAGCGTGCCTGAGAGGATGACCGCGGCAGAAATGGAAGGGTGAGATCACCTCGTGTGTAGCTGTGACGTGCAAAGTTGCATCTTTGGAACATTAGGGATGGTGAAAATACACCAGGGGAAAGAGCGTGGCTGATGATTACAGTTATATACTTCGTCCTTTATCATGATGAGAATATTTTATGCAATGGTGGCTTTTATTTCATATATTCTATAACGCTTGCAAACAATTGTTCGTTGAATAAGAGGCATTTATTTTTTTGCAAAAGAATTCTGATAAGAGCGATAGAAATTGTGACCAAAAAATAACATAGGAAGGGAAGTGAAAAGAAGGCACGTGAAGGGAAGTTAAACGAGGTGCATTATCGTTAGAGAAGTGGCCTGTGGGGGGGGGATGAGCCGCGATGATGATGGTGGTGGTGGTGATGATGATGATTCTTGGCTAGACGTGACCTGCCTGCCAGCGCTCTGACTCGCGAGGATCTGCCCCCTTCTGTGGCAGTGGCAGATGGCCAGATTTGATCTGCAGTGGCGCTCCCCTCTCCAGCTCCCACGCATTTGCCCTGCGATTAGCGGGTGCCGCGATGTGATTATGCCGCTCGTTACATCTAGAATGTAACCGCAGCGGCTTCGAGAGCCCGTGATTTCGACAGGCAGAGACACTCACGCTCCCAATGGGAGTGAGGCGCTTCCCACGCCGGAGTGGCTGGGGGGTAAGTAGTTGGACTTCGCTGGGAGAAAGAAATTATTGGTGGTAAATGGCTGTTGATGGTAGTTAGGTGGTAACCAGTTGCTAGTGGTAGCTAGTAATTAGGAGTAGGTATTTGCTGGTGGAAGCCAGCTGCTAGTGGAAGTCAGCTGTTAGCAGTAACCGGTTGCTGATTGTCTGCAGTTTTTGGTGGTTGCTTGTGAATGGTAGGTGGTTGCTTGTGAATGGTAGGTGGTTGCTTGTGAATGGTAGGTGGCTGCTGGTGGTTGGTGGTTGCTGGTGGTAAGTGACAGCGACTGCGAGTGGTCAGTTGTTAGTGTTCAAGAGTCGCCGGCAGCAAGTGGTTGCCAATCATTGTCCAGTAGCCGACGGTTGGTTGGTCTGTTGGTTTGTTGTATGTCGGTTGTGGGCTGTGCGCCTGCGAGGTTACCATGATGTGGTTGTGGATGAATCCACGGCGCTTGCGTGCAGGCTTGAGGTGCGGGTACTCCTCAGTGCTGGTGACGCGCACGGCCCACACGCGGCGCCATGCGGCGTACAGCGGCTCGTGCGCCGGGTAGACCCCCGAGTGGTGTGGCGAGACAGCGTAGCCCATGTCTGTCGGGATGCCGTGCTCCTAGGTTATGGTACGCGCATGCACACATATCCCCCGTATCGTATTTGACAGACCATTGGGGCAAGCACTGCTAAGCGAGCACCTATTAAGGCTGGCAGAGTGCACAAGGGAGTGGTGTGGCAAGGACCATGCTTGGCTGAATTTGTCTACCAAGTACTGATGTTGAAAATCAGCACCGGGCATTCATTTGAAGCTGAGTCGATCTCGGGGAGGCCCGGGACTGGTTCTGATTACACTCACCACTGTTAAGTGCTGTTAACGAGTACCTATGAATGCCAGCATGGTACACGAGGGGGTGGGTTACCAACACCAGTTATGAATAGAGCATAAATAATCAACACACACACACTATTACACGCACACACATATAAAACACCACAAGGGCAAGTGGCTGTATCAACTCATCACCTTCAATTCTGAGCTGGCACTTTACCCGAGCACCCACTGGAAAGACAGTCAGTTTAAATTTCATTCTAAAACGAAAACCTCTCTAATTTCCACTCCTACGAAACGACTTAGCTGATTCTGATGAACGGCAGTGGATGTGAATGATCTTGGGTTTACCGCGGCTGCACTTTGGTGTATCCTGGCAAATGAGTTGAGATGTCACCTCCCAGCGGATCCATCCACATAAATAAAGGATTTGATCGGGTGGACTCAGCTGGCTTTCAGTGCAACCCTAACGGGCTATAAAACCCAAGCGAGATTAAATGAAAGTCCAGGTTTAATGGTCCCTTTTGGCTGCCGCCGAGTGTAATGTCACTGGCGCACAATGTCGCTGGCACTCGCAATGTCACTGGAACACGATTTCACTGCCACTGTTAACAGGTAAAGGTACGGTCCTGCAACTGCTTGCTCGTGTCACTGCTGGCGGAAGGCAGATCTTCCAGCCGGAGCTCTACAGAGACCCTCTGAAGAGTATTTTTGGTCTACTTTCCAGACTGAGCATCCATGTTGAAAGTGGTAGAAGTATCCACACTTTACTCCACCACACGTGATCTGCTGATCGACTATCTTTGGTGTACAGGTTTTAGCTCGCTTCATGCGGGTTCAGTTTGTGAGATTTCACATATATGCGGCTAACCTATTTCTACCCAAAATTCGCTTTGTGCAGTTTGAATTCACTTAGATGCAGCTATACGGTCAGACGTGGGGAAATATTGTCTCCTGAATGGCTAACTCAGTAGGCAGCTGTCTCCTCATGTGGTGCATGGTGGGTTGTGTGACCGTGCAGTCCATGCTACACGGTTTTGCTTTGTGCATTCTTTTTTTGGAAGGCATCTACGTCTGCATCAAGCGAGGGCATCCTGTACCAGCATATACTGCTGGCTGGACAGCTGCGAAGATGATTTAAGAAATTTGACGATTTTTTTAAAATGCCAAACCGGGAGATCGAATTTACCCAGCAACCTCTGTATTGCAAGTCCAGTGTGCTGCCAATCATCACACCGTAGCAGGATCCACAAAAAAGTTACTGAGACGTAATTTCACAGGCACACGCATACAAACAGAGTTATCCACGTGTTAAATATAAATAATGATAATTCTGTTATTTATTCTCCAGAAAATTATTTCTCCTTTGCAGGTGAGTCCCTGCGTTGCAATGTTGCTTTTTAAGGAGTGTCTTTGCATGTGGAAGGAAACTGGTGTAGTTTCTTTTTTCATCTCACAAGCTTGCATAATCTAACTACTAATATTCCACAGTAACTGTATCAAGACATCAACGGGGCTTCATTTAACTGGGCCTGTACAGATCAGCAAACCAGAAAATATTCCCGTAACTGTTGCACCACATCCACCATACCTCTTGGTTGTGTGGCTACGAACAACGCTGCCTACCTACTCCATCTAAACCAGCCACCCGGGACGATTATTTGGTGAGAGACGAAGCCTTGGATGAATTGAACGGCATCGCTGGCCGCTCACTCACGATGGCGAACTGTCGGTTGAGCATCATCTGCTCGGCGAGGGCGCTCTCGTTGTGGAAGAGGTGCGGCTGCATGTGGCTCCACATGTGTGGGAACCACCAGAAGTCATGCCGGTGCTTGAGCAGGAGGTCATCGCCGCGGTCCTCCTCCACCGTGCCTGCCCGCACCACACCGTACCACACCGCACCACACCGTACCACACCGTACCACACCGCACCACACCGTACCACACCGCACCACACCGTACCACACCACAGCTATTTCTATCTGACGCCATGACATGATGCAATGTGCTTGTTTGGCAAGTTTTATCAATCCACTGGTGGATGACGGGCACCCTATGCCGTGCCGGTTGTGGGGAGGCTGTTTGACTGTATATTCAGCTATCCTGGTCAATATGGTAGATTTGAAGCTTTCGTGACTGCAAGGATTCATATTCTTAGGTTTACCGAAAAAAAAAAAACCTAAGAATATGGTCAATATGGATTGGTGCAGGCAGGGGGCATAGACGTGGGGGCATAGAAAGTACAGTACAATTTATTTTGCTGCACTGCTCTATGTTGCCCACCGCGGTGTATGTGAGGTCACATGGAGTGTGGAAGGCTTATCGACTGGTAGGTCGTCGGATAGGCCCAGGTGCTACGGATTAATTGACCGAGATGACTGGCAGATGCTTCTGACTACACACACCCCCACGCACTGCACACAAAATCCTCAATTTAGCCTTAATATACTTTTGGGGCAAGTGCTGTTTGCGAGCACCAATGAAGGCCGGCACGGCACACGAGAGTGGTGGATGGTCAACACCATGCGCGGCCATCATTATATATATATATCACACGAGGAACTCATTTAAGGCTGAGTCAAGCTAGGGGAGACCCAGAACCGGTACAAATAATCGTCACAGGTTTTGGCTATGAGCGAGAATTGAACTCCAGTCGCCGGCATCATAGCGCAGCGTGCTAACCACCGCACCGCCGCTACGTACAAACACACAGACGAGCACACCCACACAGAGATATACCAGTTCCCAGCAAACACACACGCAGAGTTGCACGTGCAAAAACAGCAGCGCGCCCGAACACACAAATCAAGCGCGTGCATACACTCGCACGAATGGACGCGCTTCAAATTAATCTTGTCCACGGCGTGATGGAAAAACGAGCAGAATTTATGGCCGCGCGTTTTTGGAGGCAAGCGCTCTTGCCCGGCACAGGGAAAATAAATACCTCGCGGCACACGAGCAAGGACACGCACACGTGCGCACACCACAATGCATCGCACGTACGCTCGCATGGGCGTGGAGTTTCACGGACGCCTCTTCTGCGTGACTCCAATGTCCTAACTATGGCAGGTGTGAGCAAGTTATGAACACGCTGGGAGTGAGTTAAATTGTGACGGAGGAAGCCTGCAAACGCGAGGTTCGGTTGGGTACTCATGCAGACTTCATAGTTTTGCACACATACTTACGTGCATGTAGAACCCATTACGTCAATCAACTGCTGGATGAGGGTCTCCCCATGCCGTGCGGGTCGTGGGGGTTGCTTAACCGTACTTGAGCATGCCAGTCAGTGCGGGTCGGTCAAGGTGGGGAGCTAAGACACAGGAGCGTTGAAGTGCAGCGCAACAACGTCTGTTTGCTGCGCCACCCTGTGTCACGCCGACCACGTACCGGTGAAGATTTAAACTCGTTTGAGACAGGCGTTGTGCTGTTTGGTTGTGCTGCACGTTGGTCGCGTGATGTGCAACCTTTTCGCTTCTTTGGAAACTTTAATAACCGATTAAGCTCCCAGCATGTCGAGCAAAACGCCAAAGACGTCACACTGGACTCACGAGCGCATTGGAGGGCTGTGCGGCGCAGCCGTGAAATCCTCCGCAGCGAGAGCCGCTTGTTTTCACAGTCCGGCTTCTTTTAACGCAAGAGCCGAGCAAAATAAGTCACGCAGACTTCTGCTGTGGGTAGGTGGAGGGGCTGTTGAATTTCACGAGAGCTCGTATCCTGCACATTTCCCACGTGGCCCTCGTACCTGTGTGGAAGAACTTTCCCGAAAATCCGAGGTTGAAGGTGAAGTTTGGCACGAGGTCACGAAGCCGACCTTGCATGCCCAGCATCGCCTGGCATAGCGGGGGGAGGGGGTGGGGAATGGAGCAGAGCGTGCCTGGATTTGTAAATATGTAGCATATATTATGCATACATCACGAGCGGATGATTCATATTTTATCGGAGGTAATAATCATTTCCACTTGTGATGCGCTGCACAGTATTCACTCATTCTCTAAGACAGAGAAGGACTCAGAGGCGCGAGGAGGAACCACAAACGAGTGGGAAAAACAGCCGAGTGGTGTACAGGCGCCAACAAACTGGAACACCGGGAAAAAAACCCGCATGTCAGAACGTCGGCTACAAATTTAAAACAAAGAAAATCTTAATAAAAGTTGTGAAGTGTTCAAAGATGCACACGGAGACGCACGCTTGGAATCATACCGAGAGACACAAAAAAGGCGTGAATCAGAGAGCAATTACGCACGTTAGAGAGGCATCGAATTGACTGTAGAGAAATAAAAGTGGCCTTGGATAGGAAAGGATAATGTCAGATGGTGGAGTGCAATGATCAAGTGCCAACCGAAGGAGAGGACACCCGAGAGGACGTCAAAGCAAAGAGCAATGGAATCAGTGTTGTGCAGTGTGAAAGAAGTTCCACATACATACAGACATACATAAATGGTTCATTGTATCAAGGGACCATGAGGAATGGTGAATGCTTGTTGAGGCCTTCAGCAGTGGACAGCTCACAGCTGATGATGATGTTTAAAACTAGTGCTCCTTCCCGTTAAATGTTTTCAGCTGGGATACTGCCCCCAAACCTGAAAAAGCTGCCCCCCCCCACCCCCTCCATCACCTCCCCCCTTGAAACGGGTTCCTGGAGAATGCGTTGCCCGGTCACCCGTCACAGACCGCCCCACCACTACGTATCCACGACACGTGTGTTTATTCCTCTGGAATGCACAGCCAATGATTAATAAGCAGCAGTTAGCAGCAGCCAGCGTGTAGACTACAGCGCCATGCGCGACGCAGGGCGATAATAGGAAGCCACTCTTCCCCTCGCCTCACGCCAACGCGAGGCAGTCTCAAGTCAAGCACAGCAGACACAAAGCGGGCAATGTCTCGATATTTATCCTCCTGTCACTGCTGCATATTATGACTTGGTCGTCTAATATCCTCTGTAATTGTGCATTCGTTTATTTGTTCATTAATCGCTGCACTTGGAAACAGACGGGAGAGACGAAGTGATGTAGTTGAATCTAACGACATTAAACCCACCGGCAATGACCAACAATACCCGCGACCCGCACGGCGTGGGGAGGCTTTTATCTCACAGTGGATTGAAAAAAGGGCTGTGTATACATTTCAAGATACTCGTATAATTATATATATATAAAACAAATACGTAGCATTGCGTTTAATAGTAATTTAGAGCTCTACTGCTGGATGAATACCTCCCCATGCTGAGATGAATGTAGGGAACTGTTTGACCATACTTTACCACAATGATCAGTGCTGGTAGAATGGGAGTAGGGGGGGGGGGCAGGAGTAATCAGATCTTGCTCGCCACTCTTAGCCATGGCCGTGAATTGAACTCGGGTCAAGCGTGCTAACCAACGCCCCACCGGTTAATTTCATAATGTGCAGACATAATAGACACACGACTAACCACACGTGTAAAAACGGCAAGATTAAAACAATATCTTACACTACGCTGTGAGATAAGAACGAGACATAGTGAAATGTCATTCTAGGGAAAAAAAGTTGTAATTTCCATATATATAATTATTTAACTTATAAATGTGACACATGACAGACTGCTTATGTAGGCTCTAATACAAACGAAAATGCAAACACGGAGTTGACTCTGTAGATTGTTTTTCTTTCCTTATTTAACAGGGTTACGAGATCGATGGAGCGCTGACACCCAGAGACACGCACACAGGCAGAACCACGTGTACACGCATACACGCGCGCATAGAGACACACGGAAACATGCTTACAGGTACGCACACTTAAGCATGCATAAACACATGCTTAGAGATACATGCATTCACACACAAAGACAAAGATCCCCCGTATAGCCTTAATGGTCTGTTGAGGCAAGGGCTGTTAGCAAAGACCTATGAAGGCCAGTACGACACACCAGGGAGTGGGTGGTTAATGAAATATTCGGCCGCCTTTGTCTCCCCAGTGTTATTATGTACAGACCACATGAGGTACTCGTTTAAGGCTAAGTCGACCTCGGGGAAGCTCAGAACCGGTTCAGATATTCGCCACTGTTATTGGTCGTGAGCGGGAATCGGACTCGGGTCGCCAGGGTTAACAGCACAGTGCGGTAACCACTTTACTACCGCTCCCCACGCGCATACACACACACATGCACACACACACATGGATACACACACGCGCACACACACACACGCACGCACACACATGCATACACACACGCGCACACACACGCACGCACACACACACACGAAGACAACAAGGGCCACCATTGTTGCTGTCACACACACTGACACTCATGCACTGCTGATGTGGACCACTCCGAACATTCAGACTGACAGACACTGATGAACAGCTCTTATACAATCATTTCGCGGCCACTTTAAAAATGACACCCTTGTGTATATCACGCATGCCTTGCCATACCGACATGCGCACACACAAAGACAAAGATCCCCCATATAGATGTTACAGTCTGTCGAAGTAAGTGCTGTTAGCGAGTACATTTGAAGGCTGCACACAACAAACAGCCGCTATTCTCCACTAAGGGGATGATGATGCCATCTTCACAGCGCTTGTGCCAGGGTAAGTGCACCGTAAGGCTACGCGAATTGTCGAATGCTCACTGACAGGAGGTCACGGGACAAACCCAGGTGCCATAGATTAGGGCGACTGGCAGATGCACACCGCCTGTGCCCCCTACTGTGCCAACTCGCTGCGTTTTAGCTTCCCGGCGCTCCGCTCGTTGTTGTGAGCGTCCCTCCTCTGCCCTCCGCTGTTGTTGGAGGACGACTGCTTCCAATTCCCTCCTCCATCCACACACGCACACCTGCAATGTCTCTCTCTGAGAGATGAGCAGCAGCACAGCCCCACCTGCTCGCGTGTGAACAAGGGAGCGCCTCTCCCCAGGCCCCCCCCGCTCCCGGCTCGTGTTGTATGCGCAGCGAGGGCACCCGCGCGCATCCAAACAGGCCGCTGCCCTCCCCTCCGTCACCCACGCACGCCGCGTCATTAATCACACGCCACGGCTGACAGCTCAGCCTATGGATTCCATTCATCAACATCAGCTCGTCTCCTGACATCCGAGCCAGGAAGCCGGCTCTCAACGCTTTCAAATGTAACAATACATTTAAAACCCCAAAGAAATTCTCCACCCTCTGACCCACCCGTGTGCCACCGTCCAGCTTGTTTTTTTCCGCCGCACAAAAACATTTTTTTAAAATATTCTTTTCAATCCGATGATTTACGGTTGCGGTTGTAACGAGAGGAGGTTGGTTTTTTTGTATTTCTCGAAGACGAGTTGGAGGAGGAGGGAGAGCAATCTCTTGGCTGGGTCTCTCGCACGCGAAGGTGAATCTTCGCGCTAAATCAGGCAATAACCTCCCACCAGTGAAATTGCTTCCTAATGATTTCCGACGGCCAACAGAGAATGAACTGTGAGCAGCTACTCGCAAACCTACTCTTCCCTTCTCCCACGCTCCAGCCTGAAAACACCAAGCCCCCCCCCCCCCACACAAATATAAATACGATAAAAAGCATTAACTGTTCTAACAAGAGGTGCCAACTCTTCTCAGCGCGACGCGGCAATGCAATTTGCACGTGTGAGCCCCCCCGCTCCACGCGCACAGCCCGCGAACGCCAGCTCCACTCTCCGTGATCCTCGGCTTGGTCGGGACACGTTCAACCCTTTGTCAATCCACTGCTGGATGAGAGACTCCCCATCCTTTTGTTGGCAATAATGGTTGTTTCACCATATTTCACCACACTGAACAGTTCAGGTTGGTCAAGATACGGGGCGTGGGTGGTTGGGGGGGGGCGTCGAGCAATGACACTGATTCTATGAACTATTAACGACATCAACTTGCCACTAAATTGGTGGCGGCTGCTGTTGTCGAGCGGGCTCAAGGCGTCGGACACGAGCGTCGATCTCTCCGCTTCGCCGCAAAGTGAGGTCACGTGGGTGACCCAGACACCGCCGCGTCGGCCGCGTGTGGTGCGCGGGACCCGTGTGTGTCCGTGTGTGCGTGTTGTGGTGTTCGTGTTGAGTTGAATCTCCCGTTTTACGACCAACAGAGAGAGTGCCAAACCGACTGCGTGGTGTGGCAGTCGCTGCCCGGACGAGGCAGCGACTGCCACTGAAACGAGGTTTGTAAATTATTTGGAAGTTTCTGGGTGCCCGGCACATGGATGGAGTTCAATTGTTACACGGGCCGAAGCATATCGGTGACCACCAAATGAACAACAAGGCAGCTATTACCACTAAACCAAGCGGGAACTACCGTTACGGCAATGATTGCCAATATCGACGGAGACCATTATTTTGCGTGCACGAGTCAGTGTGTGCACTGGGGATGCACAATATATGGGAGCACATGCACACGAATGACATTTGAAAACAGACAAAAGCCCACTTCATAAACAGCAGTCTATACAACCTTCCTTGCTGCAGATCCTAGCTGAAGCATAGGTAAAGGCACAGCCCTGCAATTGCTTCCTCGCATCACTGCTTAGCAGAAGAGCATCCGCTAGAGAGCTCTGGAGACCCCTGCTCGAGATATATACTGTACTGTATCGATTACAGAATACGATACGTCACATATCCGACCGTCACATATCCACCTCGACCAATGTGCATTTGTAACTATTTTCAATAGATGTTCATTTAAGCGACCTTTTCACATATCCAGATTCATCATAATCCTTCGAATATGCAACATTGTACTGTATATAAATAAATAAAACAATCTTCTAACACCTCTTGCAAAATATAGGTGTTAATGATGTTTCTCTCTTGCCTCATCGCACTCACCTCCACGCAACCTCGACATGTGAGAGAGAAGCT